GATGACGTCTATTGCTAAGATATCTCACTTGTATTTGTACACAATGTTGCTAGCTGTTGTGTGCTGAGCGCCGGATTAAACTAAAGCTAAAATATCAGTTGAAAGTAAAAAGTTGCGGAACAGTCACAGTGAAACGCAACACTGGATGTCAGTCATGTCGGCTACCCGTGGTATGTTCACAGTTTTATCGCCACTGCTGTCAAACTAAAATAATTCGCACGGAGCAAATTCGTTGGCCACAAAGGGCCAACCAACACAGGAAGGTGGTGTTAAAACTAAATTTGGGTTTCATTTCCAATGTGATCGTACTATTATGGAAAGAAAAGAAACCTCTGGTTTCGTATTTCAAAAGGTTACATTTTCACTTTGACACAAAGTGGAATACAACAGCGTGGCTGTTGTTTGAACGTATCCGAAGTTTCGTGTGCAGCGAATTTCGGTATTAATTACTGGCATGCATTTTTTGTACCATTTCAGTTAATTTTCTAACTGTTATCAACCATCCACCATTACGGCGGAAATGACTGTTCCCTGTCAGCTACATTGTCGCGCAGCAACACCACTATTTTGTCTGGAGTGGCTTCCGACTGCCGTGTTGTTTTGCCGCCCTGTGTGCAGGGCAACACTGCAAGCAAGTTTCAAAAGAATATCAAAACATTTTGAATTCTGATTCCCAAACAACAGGCGCGCAGCATAGCTAGGCAAGCAAAACCAAATGCAACACTATAGCGAAGAGTTCACTAAACACACACCACTGCCGCCAGCATAGGTTGTCATCTCACTCTGGCATACGCGCTGCCCGCCCAAAATATTTGCGAATTGTCAAAACAAAGCAGCGACCATGGTTGGTGCAGATATGCAATAGCTAGTCGCACTACACAACATGGCGGCGGCATGACATTTGTTTAGTCAGCACACTGAACGCGCTATGTTGGCTGCTATGAACAAACTAATTTAGCTAGTTAGGCGTCGGCGGCGGCGGTTTTGCTTGTGCGCCCTAGCTGTTTGCCTGTGAAAAAATTTCGCTGACGTGCCTAAAAGTATGGAATTGCGATTTCAGGCATCTCGGTAATGTGCGGAATTCGAATTGGAAATTTGGTACTCTTTGAAAAAGTGTTCGTTCGTTCACTCGCGCGCATACATTTTGTTGATAGCGATAAAGTCCAATCAGAAAGAAGCCCCACCAACCAACCGTCGCCGTTGCGAAAGCAACGAACGCGAACGACAGCCGGATGCACGGATGTACGTAACCAGAACGACCCATATTCATATCTAGCCATATTTATATTTCCAGCCTCATACCCCAATAACCCTTTGGGGAATTTGTATGCTGTTACAACAGCAACAACAACAATACGAGTATTGCCTCCCGATTCCGATAAAGGCCTGCCACCGCCGCCATTTGTTTAGTTTTCTTTTTATTCTCCATTAAAAGTGCTTTTCGTGTTGTCTTATCGGCTATCGATTCAATTGGATTCAATCGGCGCGCGATGTCTGTTTTTGGCGCTCAATCATGTTTAGTGTGTTTTTGCCACCCTCCTGGCGTTCTCCGCCCACACATATGCGTCGGCAGTTCTTGCTAGCATCGCTGCGCGCCTGAGATAAATAGAGCTCGATGACTGTTTGTACTATCGAGAAAAATGCTCGGAAATAAATCGCCGCTCGCCGCATGCAAACAAAATGGTCGAGCGAGCGAGCATTTTTTCCTTGCACTTTGAACGCAGACACCGACAATAATATCGATTTACAACACCGACAATATCGATTTCCCACGACAGTCGGGTCCATGTAACCGGAACGACCACTCCAGCATTATTCCCCATAAAAAGTTATTGGGAAATTCGTGTACAACAACAATAACAACATCGATTTACAAACACATAAATCATGTGTATTTTGTTATTGGTTTTGGACATCAAAATGTAAAAATATGTATATGTAACCGCAGAACTCTACAGGCAAACACCGATGGCCTAACAACTGTCATTTTGGCGAGCAATGTGATTGCAAGTTTTTGTGTGTGGGCTGTTTGATGTCTTGAAATAAGCATTTGCCGCATGACGCCACCAGACAACATTCTCTCAATTGCGGTATTTAAAAACATTTAAGTCTTTAAAAAACTTGCTGAATAATTTCCTAAAACGTAATCATAAATAATCCAATAGGGAACAGATTTTTATTTTGATTTAGTATCAAAATTTCATCGACGTTACCACCAGCACGCTTTCTTTCAAATGAAAATATGGCTGTCAAAC